AAAAAAATCGATACACGGCTTTAGAATATCGATACAGTATCGGGAAATGAAATATCGCGATATTTCAGTGTATCGATATTTTCTTACAACCCTAAATTTCACTAGGCTATTATTTTTTTATTTCCATCCACCTTTTGCTGCTGTTCTCCCAATTTTATGATGTTCTTCAAAAAATGTTCTTGTTTGTTTGTTGTTGTTTTGCCACACACCTAAAGTTGTCTTTTTGTTGTGTTCAGCAAAAACCAACTGTGTTGACACGACCATAACAAATCTGCTAGAGAACAAGGAAGACGCTGCAGTGGAAGCTAGTGGGATCTCAACATTTGGAGCCTCTAAGATGGGCTTTTCTTCTGCTTCTTCAACCATAAAGGTTTGAAACGTCTTAAGTTCTGTCGACTCTGCCTCACTTTACTTCACAGTTCATACAGCTGTGTTGCTTTCATTTTACTTTGCTTTACTCTGCAACATAACACAAAATATAACAGTGATCTCTCTTTTTTATTATTTGTTGGTTTATCATTTTCCACTAAAAAGATTCAGTGTAAATCCGTCTGTCAATCAATGCTGTTTAAGTGTTGAAAGACCTGCTGACCTGCAGCATATCATTCATCATAGAAACCTAACAAATATGTCTGACATGGTGTGGGAGAGCAACGCACTTTTCATGATTAAATAACAGCTTCAAGGTGCTCACAGTGTTTAGGCTTATTGGAGCAGATTTTCAATCAAACTTTTCTGTACTTTTAACAAATTACTGTCTTCTTTTTATCCATAGCCTGCTGCCAAATCGTTTGGAAAATCACCAACGGACAGACATTTGTCTCTCCAGCAAAGAAAAGAAGCGCTGTATAATTTTGCACGAAGGTAAGATATTAGATAAATAATTTACAATAGTTTTTATTAGTCATTTTCAGAAAAAAAGGCATTTCTACAATATCTGGATTGTTTTAAATTTCTAACAGTTTAATTCCCAATGTTTGTTTTTTCAGTTTGTCTGTCAAGTTAAGAGAACTAATCCTGACACATAATAATTGTCTCACAGTCATGTAGTGTTGTTCTTCTTAAAGGGATCCACGATTAGTTGTAACATTAAACTTTATTTGATAAACATATATTTTAACTGTAAAATAAAGACTGTAAAAATACTGTAGGCTGTTTAGTTTTGTACATTTTTAAAAATATATTTTAACACAGACGGAGCCATTTTATTTACACGCAAAGCATTCTGGGTAAATGATGACGTGGGTAGGTCATTGGTGCGAGGCTGCTAGGGAGCTATGTCCACTTAATCTTGGACACTATCTGACGGTTGGCTCTTTTAAATGAAACCAGAGAGCGTTGACAGAGAGGAGAAGGT